GTAGCAAATTAACTACCTTTATTTGTTTACTACATTAAACTATGTTATTTATGTTTAAGATTAATTTTTATATACAAATAAGTAAACAGAATTATATTTTGTTCTGTACACAGTATAATTAATATATGACTAACCTGATCTGGACAAAAATATCCAAATGCTACCATCCCAAAGAGAGAAAGTAGTAAACAGAAAAGGATCACTTTGCGGAGCTTCGATCTCGGTTCCATTTTTTTTATTTCATAGGCGCCACTAGGAAGCAACAAAGCAAAATCACTATCTACTTGCACTGATACACTTTTTTGCATTTCGCCTGAATGCATGTCTCATTTTTACAAAAATATCTTAGTCAAACACACACTGGCCAGTCTATAGTTTCACTTGAATCGTATGGTTTATTTAGAATTAGTATCGGATTGCGTTCACATTTTGCTATCGTCTTTCGATTATCTATACGATAGCAGTTCGATAAATATCATTGTTTTGAAGATAACGTGAAGTTGTGCAACAAACAAAGCCGAAATTTCATTCAGCTGTGGAGCTAGCGAACAAGCGTCTGACAGCGAGCTAAAACACGATAACATTGGCGTTCGCCGCTTCATTTCACACACGAACGTTCGCATCGCACTCGCTCGCAGAGGTTATTTTGTTTGACAGACATGAATGACAGCAAGCGAATGTCATCTGTAGTGAGCGCTCGCGCGCCCTCTACACTAGAGTTGCAGTCCGAATCGTAGTGTTTGAGTTTATTTTTATTTCCAACTCTTCAACTACATAATATATTTGTCATTTACAAACAATATAGACCTTAAATTACGCTAGGGTCATTACAAACAATGGCCTCTATAATATTATTCTAAACACTAAAGGGAATATCCTAATGCCACTCTTGGTAATATGCCATTCCAAATGTGCGCAGCACTTTCCCAGGCATGATTTCCAGCGGCCTTCTTTATACATAACGCACCTTTAGAATTGAAGTGACTTAAATAAAAAAAATAGCAAAATGACTTTTAAACGTGAAACGACATAAAAACATGTATTCTATCAGTTTATTATTAATAAACAGGCTCTTTTAGGTCAGAAGAAGACAAACGTACTATTTCCGTCTCTTTTAAATGACACGCATACCGCGCCTCCCTCAGTATTAAAGTACCCCATTCAGTGTTGCGTGGACATTTATTTCATTTTCAACTAGCATATTACAAAATTGGTCATGTATCAAATATATAACATTAGAAATGAATCGCCTCTATATTAAATAGTAACGTTTTTGTTTTATGTTGTTTAGGAAAAAAGGGGCACAAAGTAAAATAAGCCAATTATAATAAACTGTTATCGAAAAATAAGTGACATGTTTTTTTTGATGATTAATTAACAAAGGTTCTACTTAGTTATACAGACTAGTTTAGTAAACAATCATGAAAAAAATTCCTATCCTACCATTAACAATAAAAAATATGTTAATAAACATATAACTTATAGCGTTATAATAGAAAACAAAAGAATGGCCAACTTGTCAATCACATTTTTAGCGTTTACCAAAAAAGAAGAATTTTGGATTAGGTCACTTCAATTCTAAAGGTGCGATCATTTTCTTTGACTTTTGTAAACGACGATGTTTTTGATTAGTCGCTTTTTAGCTTCATCAAGGCAAGAGCTAGACAATCAATCCGGAGATACAAAGCAATGCGATAGATCTTTGCGGGGCCTTTTTTACCCGACTTCGTGGAAAGGAAATTATGTTTTCAAATGTAGGTAGGTACATATTTATATTTCTTTGGCGCGGTCTGTGGCTTAAACGGTTTGACTGATTTTGGCTTGAGAAGCGAAGGCGTCGTTAGATTCTTCTTAGTTGTGAGAGAGGCGCTCGGTATAATAAAATTATAAAAACTCATATTACTTAAGTACTTAGCACAAATAAAAATAATCCTCAAACCAGAAAAGCTCCCGAAGATGTGTCTTCCTGTAGACCACTTCTGTTTATTGCCCCTTCAATCGAAGCTTAGGGCAATAGTTTTTAAAGCGATTCAACAATGTTATAGCAGAATTTAAAGTTTTAAGTACCAGACCTCCAATTTGGACTTAGAATATGACATGTCATGGCATGATGAAGCAGGTGCATAGACTCGTTGCGCGGCCTTGTACACTAGGTGCAGCAACATCGTCCATTAAGCATTATGGAGAATCCCTTTGAACTTTTGCTGATGATAAAGCAGCCTTAGCTACCCACGAAGAACTGACACCAGCAAGGGGCATTTTTTAACGTTTCCTTAACATCATCTTAAATCGGATTGCGTGAGAGGGCGACGGAGAGCTTCTATGGACAGACTTCAACACAGAACAACCTGTTGATAGTTTGGCTAAAGACCCTAGAGCCAAATTAACCCGACACTGTACTGAAGACATCCCGTAGTCAGCCTATACGAGATTAATATTGCTCTCAACTAACTGAAGTACAACAAAGCGCCGGGGGACGAAATCATAGCAGAACTCCTGAACGTGAGGGAAAAACCAGTAGGTGAGTAAAAGTTTACAACGGTGCACTACTTTCCTTCAAAAAATGTGACAACACCTTACTGAAGAACTCACACTAATTTCGCCAAAAGCTGCGGCAGGCTATGAAAACACTGAAGAATATAACCTGCCATTATGCTTAGCGTTTGTGGACTATGAGAAAATATTTGACTGGGTTGAAAATTGGGCTATGCTAAAATTTTTACAGAGGTGCCGCATCGACTATCGCTGCATCCAAGTGCTGAAGTATTGAACAAAAACTCTACCATGATAGTCCCTTTATAAGAACGATTACAAGACAAAGTCCAAGTAATTTAAAATTAAAAGACAAACTACAGTGAGGAGTGCGACAGGGAGATGTAATCTCCTCGAAGCTGTTTGCCGCTGCGTTGGATGAAGTCTTTGAGCTTCTGGATTTGGCACTCACCTTTGATTTGCTAGTGATATAACGTCGTTATGGCAGAGACTTTGGAGGATCTCAATATAATGCACAACGACCTCAGCAGAGCCTCTCCACAGGTGGGCATTAAAACTAACACTAGTGAGACGAAAATCATATCTAACGCTCATGTTCCGCTACACACGGTAAACAAATTTATATCTGGGGTAAAATGGTCTACTTTGGTAAGTCCAACTGACCGACTGGGCAACATTCGGGAAACTTTGCTATGTCTTCTCGTCCGAAGACCAAGGTCTTCCGGCACCGAGGTATTAGGTCTGACAAACGGAACTGAAACGTGGTCATTGACAATAAGCCTATCAGTCGCACAGCAAGCGATGGAGAGAGAACTTTTGACATAAAATAGACAGTTTCTGATAACTGGATACGTGGCTGTTTGTACGTATTCCAAATATTAAGCTGTTTATTAATTTAGCTTCACTGCCATTCAAATACAGGCATGGTACAAATAACCACAAGCCAAGTGAACCAAAACTAAAAAAATTGCTCGACTTGACTTCACGTTGACTTTACTATAAGATTCAAACTTGCTTGGTAGGTACTGTAAATGGCCTGTACCGAAATCCAACACACTATATCAATAAGATTTTTCGATTCAGAAGTGTCTGATACTAAAAATCATAATCCATCATTAAACATTATGTAGGTATTTTTCAATAACCTCAATATGATTTAGTTGCAACCCCTTGTCGAGGTTGCACTTTATCGAGCGTTCATTATGATAGTTATTATCACAACTGTTTTTGATGAGGCCCAAGCAGGAACTTTGATATGTCCGTAATCGTATCGCATAGTGATATCCTCCCACTGTGGGGGTGCTCCATGTCGTATCGTAAATTTTTGGGGTTCCGTACCTCAAAAGGAGAAAACGGAACCCTTATAGGATCACTTTGTTGTCCATCCGTCCGTCTGTCAAGACCGTGTTTTATCAAACTGAAATTCATATCTAATACCTACTCATGTCTACTGTCCCTTGGAGCTGTGAAAAAATCAAACTTCTAAGCCAAAGCAATCAAAAGATACAGCCGTTTAAGCTACAAATTTTCGAAACTCGCACGGGAAACAAAACCTACAGGGTACTTAGAATCTTGAAATTTGGTAAGAAGTAACGTGTTATAGTACTTACATATAAAAGAAATTGCGAAAACCTTAAATTTTTACTTTACATTATAACAATAAAAAATATTTTTTAATAATTATTAAAATATACCTACAGGTTTATACGGAACCCTCGGTGTGCGAGTCCGACCCGCACTTGGCCGGTTTTTTTTATGGAAGGAGCCAGTTTGTTAATACGTCCAGTAGGGGTGCTGCTTGGTTTTCATAGAAATTTTGACAATGTGATACGATTTACTGAGCTGTTAAAATTCGGGCTTCTTCTGTGTATCTATATATAGATACAAACGTGACTGACTGACATAGAAAGGATTTTGATCAATTCTACCCCCAAGGGGATAAAATAGGGAATGAAACTTTGTCAATTTTAAACCGATCGGGCCGAGACTTTGCATGCAGGTATAAGAAGAATTATAGATGAATGTCATTGTGTATAATACAGCTCTACACCGAAGCGAAGCGAGGGCGGGCCGCTAGTATTATTATAATCATAGAGGTTAGAGAGAACGATCGCTGTGGAATAGTGTCCCAGAAATAAGGACAAAATTAGTGAGGCGCTGCGATCGCTATGTTGTATCAATAAAGCGGGCTGTTGTGCGCTAATTTAAAATAACCAATGCCGCGAAGGAAATTTGTACATTATTCAACTAACTTCATCTACTTGTACTCATAAACAGCTAACTTCACATATACTACTTACCGAAAAATTTTACTAAAAACTTTAAATTCTACAAATTTTCGGGGACAGGCAGGCTAATACTTTAGCACGTAGCGATCGTTCTCCTTCTCTCTAACCTCCATGATTATAATTATTAAGACAGACATATTGTATTATTGAGGAACTTATGAATAAAAATGGGTAAGTAGGTATGTAAAAAATTAGGGAGCAAAGGATTAAAAAATGATACTTGTACAATTTCTTTAATAGGCTTTTAATCCAGTATCAGCATCAATGGGAAATTTTAAAACTTGGTAATAATAAAAGTATGATATAATTTTTGTATAGGTATCACCCATGTGCAGGCAATTAAAGAAAGTATATCAGGACATAAACTAAAAATAATAAAATAAGAATGCATCAGCAAATCCCTAAATAAAAATTATTTAAACTGGAAATAAAAACATTTCAATATTTCTCTAGATCTACAAGTTTACTTCAAGATATGTATGGTTAAAAATAAAAAGAACTTTAAAATCAAGGTGGGAAGATACATTTTACTATGTAGGTAATAAATATAATGAATGGCAAAATGGATATTTTATTTCATCATTAATTTCTCTCGTCACACTGCAGTTGCTCTTAAAAATAGACTAAGAAAATATTCAAAGATTTTAAAATGTACATTTATGTATAGTATACATATGATAAAAAGTCAACAAGAAATATACTAACCTAAAACTATAGAAAATAAAATAAATTCTCCGAATGTTTTTACAAGATTTCAACAACCTGCAAATATATTTAAACAGTTTTGAGATATGAATGCTTTATTCTCTGAGTGAGCTTAGTTCAATGTTACATGTACATTACTTCAGCTTCACATTCAATACACATTTCAATACAATATTGAATAATTACACCAATATCTGATTACAACGTCAGACCACTAGGATGTTTAAGAGTCACACAATTTTCCGGCATAAAAATATTTCACAGAATAGAATGAAACTGAGACAATGCCACGAGAGAATTCCATATTCTGTCCTATAAATGACAATTAAAAAAATGTATACAAAATTTCCACACCTCATCTGTTTACAATTCGTCGGCAATACAAAATTACAATAAGTCACCACAGTGATACTGTTAACATATTTTTTTTTGTTTAAATTTTTTAACACTTGATTGTGGTACATTTTTAACACTACACTCAGTCAACGCGCAACATTGTTGTTGGTATATCATCAACTTCACCAGTCCATAATAAAAGGATCAACTCCTTTCACCACAGAATTTCCTAGTTATAAAAATTAGTATATTTCATTGATTCAGTCCACAAATTTGAAACAAAGTCCACAATTCCACTCAATAATGTCATGTGACACCAAACTGGCACATGTTAAATGTTGTTGTTTAATCAATGTTCGGTTCACTATGCATTTGTTTAATAAAACGTTCTTCAGTACAAATACTTTGCACATTTTAATTTGTTGAGAGTTTTTTTAGCGTTGCACTGTTTAAAACAATTAATACTCTATGTTACATTTAAATTGTTCAGATTTTAACGCAACACCAAGCGGTTACGTCCATCTATGACATAATCCTCGTGTTCTGTGTATGTATGCTTCGATATACATACATCAGTGTATTACGGTACCAATTAATGATTCGAGTACTAGTCGTCTATGGGGAGAAGCCAGTCCTCAAACAGCTCTCGCTATATCTAATTACGAGGACGCCCGCGGCCGCGAGATCCGTCGCGATCCTGTAATAAATACAAAATTTTAGATCCGTTCAACATAGAAGAACATTGAACATTACTTCATGCATAAATTAATGACTGACAATATAGATCCTAATAAAGCTGGCATATAAAAATATTTGAAATAAATACAAATTAGGGATCGTCCATCTATCACGTGGGGCTCGAAAGGGGAGGGGCGAGTGATTTCGAAAAGTATCATAAAATATCCCAAGAGGGGATATAAATGAGATGTCAAGTGTATACATTTTTCGTTGAACGCAAGATTTCTATAAAAAACAGCGGCGAGTATCCTTCAAATCAACAAATCATTACGTGATCAATGGACGATTATTGACCCCATAAGGGTTTACGTAGACGAGAATCTTAAAAAAATATGTCGAAAGACGTGTCACGCACTCGGTGTGCAAACATTTGTTGCTCGAAAATGTGGTGAAGCGCACGCTATGGAAGTACATATTCTCAGATTACGTTGTGTTGTAATCAAGATGAAGTTTAAGAAGCACAGAAGACATTTTAAAGGAGAATACTAGCCATCCTCATATATTGGATTGAGCGCACAACGCGGACTAAAGTTCGGTGTGTGCGTTGCTGCGCCTAATGACATGTGTTCAGTTTTTTTCGGGGACACCGCATACTTTTGTCCTGTCCCCGTTGTCCTTGGTTGTTAAATTTTAATCCCTCGTGTGCGTTTACACGATGCAGTTGTAACAATTATTTTGGTGGATAAAAGTCTCTCGTGTTCGCAGTTCATATGGAAATTGTGGCGCAACAGACAGAAAAGCACTAAGCAGACAAATTATGTTATAAAACATGAAGTTGTGGCCGTTATCCATGAAATTTTTCAAACCATGGCCTTACTACAAGGAACCTCAGTTGATGGTAAAAGCCAAGCTACTTGATTGTCATTCACCATAGTAAACAGGCATATCACATACTACGTAAACGACGAGTCTAGGTTATAGCTTACCTCTAACATTAGCACAGTACTAGTTCTAGTAGCAAGATTCTTTGTAGTGTATGATAAATTAACATACCTTATGATGAGGCCTATAGTTATCACGGTCACGGTAGCCGTGGTCCCGATTATCTCGAGCGTCGTGGTCTCGATGATCGCGATGGTCCCGGTCCCGCGGGTCCCGCCCCTCACGGTGGTCCCGCCCGTCACGACCTTCCCGTCCGTCACGCCCGTCCCTCCCGTCACGACCTTCCCTCCCGTCACGGTGGTCACGCCCGTCACGACCTTCCCGCCCGTCACGATGCTCTCTAAAGTCACGATAGTTCCTATAACCACGCCCACCTTCTTGCTCCTCCCGATTATTGTCCTGGCTATTGTGGTGGGGCACCTTTCGAGAGTCCTCCTCCTCCTGGCGGCGCTCATAGTGAATGAAGTCGTCGAAGATCGACGTAGAATGACAGTAACTATGCATGATACGCAACACCTGCAGCCCCTTCGCGTGCGGCACCTCTTGGGTGTCGCGGGAATTCGTCACCGGCTTGTTCTCGTTATTTTCTAGTTTGATATAACGCAGTTGCACGTTCGGAACGTCCTTAACATAGATCCACCTGACGCGGAATTGTCCCTTCCACTTGTCCTGCGACCACACGCTCGAATTGGAATTGTAGTCGACTGCGCTCGTCATGCGAGCCATGCCGCAGAAGTGGCCGCTGCCGTTGACCGAGAAAAACAGATAGACGGTGCCGCCCTCCCTCTCGCGCTCTCGAAACGCCGCGTCGAGACGCTTGTTGCCGTGCTCGGTGCTGCACCAGATTTCGTATTTGATGCTGCGATGGATGTCGTCCTCGGAGTAGGATTTGATGACGAAGAATCTGGCGAGCGGGGCAGTCAGATCGAAGTCTTTGGGGTTGTAGTCGTTCTTGACGCGGAGTTCGTCGAGCACCGGGTGGGGGATGGATTGCGCGGGCGGAGCGGGAGGCAGGACGGCAACGGGCGGCGCGGGCAGGGGCGGGCGGGGCTGGTGCGGATGCTGGAGGGGCGGTGGTGGGGCGCGGGGTCCGTGCGCCCAGGCGGGCGGGCCCTGGTGCTGCGGGGGCGGGCCGCGCTGCAGGGGCGCGGGAGCGGGCGCGTGAGAGGGCACGGGCGCGGGTGCAGGCGCCGCCATCTGCAACGGTGCGGATGCGGGCGGCGGCTGCAGCTGCGGCGGCGGCGGCGCTGTCACCACCGGCGCGCTCTTTCCTGCGTCCCACGCGCCCATATCCATATTATGCTTCCCCGGCACGATGGGCGGCGGCGGCATCCCCGGGCCCTTCTTTTTCAGCCCCACGCTCTGCGACGAGGGCGCGGGCTTCGCCGGCTGACTGGCGATCGATGCCCATGTCATCTTTTTAGGCTGCGAACCGCCCGACACGTCCTTGTGCTCGGAAACGCGCTCCTTTTCCATTTTGTGTTCGCCGAGAGAGAGCGCTTGCACACCGCTCTCGACCGCCTTGATGCCGTCCGGCACGTACAGCCCGTCTGTTCTGTAGTAGTCGTCATATTGTTTTGCGCGTCCTAATTGACCCCAAGTGGAGTAGTCACCGTTACCATGGAAATAGTTAAAAGTGGAAGCCGGCTGACCGAATGCAGCCGTAGAGAATGGTGTGGTCGAGGGGCCGAATACACCTGAAATCAGAATGTGAACATTAATTTGTAAATTGTAAACGATAATAAACGAGCATGCAACTTCATTTATATTAATGCAATGTTCTGTGATGGTAGTCATTGTATGTAAACAGTAATGTTGTTATTAGTGGCAGACAGACTGAAATTTGCTCTAGTAAGATTAAATGAGATGAAATAATAGTCCACTCAGTCATAAAAACCAACCCCATTCCTTAACATGTGTTCATTATGTTAATGAATGATAATGTTTTCTCAGAGTACTGAATAAATACTAGCTACCATCCATTCCATAAGAATCGTGAGGATTGTATCCTCCGAGGAAAGTCATCGGGTCTGTTCCATTGGTGGACCATGTCCCATCCCCGACTCCAAAAGCTTGGTAAGGAAGAGCTGTTGTACCGTAATAACCTGCAATGACATAAAATATGTTGTTTATAATGTCAATAATGAGGTATTACCAAAAAACAGCGAAGATCAAACCAAAATGTGGCCATAAGGCAGGGAAATCATGACTGAGTATGGAAACGGGAGAAGTGTGCAGGTGAAAAGATTTTTCTATTATTAAAGATAGAATTACTGGCTATTGTTATACGAAAAATTAAAGCTGTTTAATTTTTCTATACAAATAAATTTATTTAATGGCAGTGACAATACTTTTAATACTTTGGCTAAAAACTGATTAAAGTATGAAATTAATTTAATAGACCTAGTGACCAGTTGATATTTTTATATACTTATTAAAAACATACTGGTATTTTAGTTATTTTGATATCAACTATAAAGACCACAAAATTTTTAATGACATCACATTCATTTCTGTATCTATATTTATACTGTAGAATAATTTTATACAAACTAGAAATCTTTCAAATTGAAAATTGACTTTACAAACAAACAAAGCTAAGTCTAAGGCCCGTATCATAGTAAGATTCTCAGTAATGAATCTAGTCTTGATCATAGTTAGAAAGGGATATCGCTATATATAGCATATAGCGACATCCCTTTCTAACTGAGCTCAAGTAAAGATCAACACTTTGTTGTCATTCTGTAATAAGGGCCTAAGTGAGTTGAGTTTCAATTTGCGTAAAGTCCTTTTCAACCAATAGGAAGGCTCCATTGCCTCCATTTCACTGACAGCTGTCATGGCCGCCTTTGATGTTGTATTGCTCTTTTGTTGTGTTACAGTTACAAACTTAGTAAAGTCCAAAACTTGGTAACAAAACTGCAAAAGTCCATCTTATACTTAAGGTTTTACTCAAAAATATTGAACTGAACGTGATGAACACTTGTATTTCCATAATGTATTACATTCTGCATATAAATTATGTTTAACATTAGAATAGTTACCTGTAATTATTAAATAATCGTTTTTATTGTTAACTGAACATTTTGGCAATGTGGACTTTACCAACTTTCATTGTATACCCCTAATATAGTCAGTGTTTATAAAGTTAATTTACAAAAGTTTGATTGAGAGATAACACTTTATTTATAATTATAATACCGCACACATACATTAATTATCAATTTGATAACTTTTGACTCTATTTTCTATCAAATTTGTTAATTAATTTATTCAGTAAAAGCTCCTAATTCACGCTTTCTTTATTAGGGTTTTTACTATTCGCGGATTAAAATATTGTGACTGAATTCCTATATTCGCGGCAAAAAAATTCTGATCTAATCGAATTAAAATTCGGTACCCTTCGTTAACGCGTCGGCGGATGGAGTAATTATAAAAGAAAAATAGATCTTATTATAGTTGTGCCTAAAGTACGTTGTCAAATGCTATCGCCAAAGCATTAGACGGTTTGCCTTTTCCTTTGATATGAGCTACCTTGGCAGCAGTCACTGTTTTTGAGATGGTAACAAATACATAGAATAATGTCTATGTAAAAAACAATCTTATTGCTTTATGCCTAAAGGTAGGGTACTAAAAGGCCACCACATATGTATAAAACATTCCTCCATGTACTTCGGTAAGAGGCGCTTAGCGTTGTCTCCTCTTGTCATTCATTACAAAAGTTGTGATCAATCAACACGTCTCGTCGGCTGTGTTCCTAATTTTAATAGACTGACAAAAAAAAGAAAAACTAGTTCTGACACAGAAAAAATTAGTTTTTTTTTTTATACATAGATCCGACAAATGACTCCACCCCACCTGATGTTAAGTGAAGGTGAAGTCCAGACGCGAAGATAGCTGATACAGCAGTTCTAACTGCCACACCAGCCATCCTCACCCTGCCGGTCTGCAAGTTGCTTCTTCACGCCTCTTTTAAAGGATCCCAGGTTGTAAGAGGGAGGGAACACGTGAGCGGGCAGAGCATTCCATTTACGGATAGTACGACAAAGATATGAGTCACCAAATTTCTTTGTACGCGTTGGAATTGTAGCCACAGTTAGACGGTGACAACGTAAGCCAGCGCGCGTGGTCCTCTGAAGGAAAGGGGAAGGTGGAATAAGAGAGAATAACTCCTCAGAACACTCACCGTGGTACAGGCGATAGAACGCGCTTAGTGACGCCACGTCACGGCGTAATTGAAGAGGCTCGAGGTGTTTAGTCACCTCCTCATCGCCTATGATGCGGATTGCGCGCCGCTGTAACCTATCCAAAGCATCGAGCAAGTACTTAGCGGAGCCATCCCAGAGGTGCGAGCAATATTCCACGCAAGACCGCACCTGCGTCTTATACAACAAGCACAGTTGCTCGGGCGTGAAAAAACGCCGCACCTTGTTCAGGACTCCGAGTTTGCGTGAGGCTGTTTTTATCACACTTTCGATGTAATTCTTTGGATTTAAGTCACAGCGAATCTCCATACCGAGCATGGTGATACTGCTCTCTAGCTCCAGTGTTGTGCCCTGAAGAGAAGGACATAAAAGGAATGGCGACGTTTTTGCCGTGAAAGCACAGACCTGGGTTTTCTTAGCATTGAACTCAACCAAGTTCTTGGTACCCCATACAGAAATGTGGTCCAAAGCTTGATTGAGCTCAATGACAAGATTCTCCCGTTTCTCCTTGGTTACCGCCTGCCCAGCCGCTGCTTGTCCGAGATAGCCCGCATGCACTGTACTATCGTCTGCATAGCAATGAATATCCCCAAGAGGAATGAAGTCATTGATATGCAGCAGAAAGAGAGTGGGGGATAGGACGGAGCCCTGGGGAACGCCGGCATTCACTGACATGAACCGCGAACTGCTACCATCCGTAAGGACACGAATTCTACGCTCATGCAGGAAGTCAGCTACCCAAGAACAGAACTGGGCCGGCAGACCGTATGCCGGAAGCTTGGAGAGAAGACTTTTGTGCCAGACCCTGTCGAATGCCTTGGCAATGTCAAGGCTAATAGCCAACGACTCGCCTCGCTTGTCGATAGCCTCACCCCAGATATGAGTCAAGTACGCTAGAAGATCACCCGTCGATCGTTTCGGTCTAAAACCATATTGACGATCATTGATCAGGGAGTGATCCTCTAGGTAGCGGGTCAGATGGTTGTTAAGGACCTTTTCTAGGACTTTACATAATACTGAGGTGACTGCTATTGGCCGGTAGTTAGCCGGGTCTGAGCGATCCCCTTTTTTGGGTACCGGTTGCACGTTAGCATCTCTCCAAGCTTCCGGCACACGCCCCAAAGAATACGAGCACTGGTACAAACGCGTGAGCACGGGAGACAACTCCGCTGCACATTTTTTCAGCACTACTGCTGGGATGCCATCGGGTCCACTAGCTTTCCGGACGTTGAGTGATTGCAATTCGGCACGAACCTCACGCTGCCTGATTTTGATATCCGGCATCGTTGTGCCACAATGAGGTAATGATGGTGGCGGTGCATTGCAATCATCGATTCGGGAGTTAGCCGCAAAGAGTTTTGCCAGTAAATCGGCTTTCTCCTGCGGCTTATGAGCTAGTGTTCCGTCTGGGCATCTCAGAGGTGGCAGCGAGGGCTGGCAGAAGTTCTTTTGCACGGCCTTGGCCAAACGCCAATAGCTACGGGAGCCCGTAGGATGCGTTATAAGTTCGTGACCAACACGTGCTACGCGCTGGGCATCCGCTCTGATGTAAGCCTTCTTACAGGCCTTGGAAGCAATATTGTAAGCTGCTTTTAGTGAATCGACCCCGGGATCCTTAATAGCGCGGCCTCTGATCCAAGCACGATATGCCGCTTGCTTACGCGAAGCAGCTTCAGCACAGTCGTGATTGAACCAGAGGTTACGTGTGCCCTTACTGATGAGATTGGAATGAGGAATATAGTATTCCATACCCATTACAATCTCTTCAGTAATAGCAACGGCGCTGGCTGATAGGTCCTTGTCACTGAAGCAGCGCTGCTTCCAAGGGACGGACGCAAAGTAGTCACGCATACCGTCCCAATCTGCCGACCCATAATGCCAGATCCGGCGTTTTACCACCGTTGGACGTGGAGGCTTGGCCTGTGGCGCTTTGGCAGATATCAGGCAGTGATCTGAAGAGCCCAGGGGGGCACCTACCACAACCTGATAACCCTGTGGATGGGTCGTGAGCAGAAGGTCCAGTAATGAAGGCGCTTGACTTGAAATATCTGGAATCCTGGTGGGCTGATCGACCAGTTGTTTCAAGTCCTGCGTGAGAGCGAACGCGTGAGCAGAGATCCCTGCATGGTCAGTTTTCGAGGAACTTAACCACAAATTGTGGTGAGCATTAAAGTCCCCCAAAAACACCAATTCTGCATTGGGAAATTGCTCCTGCGCGTCATCTGCTGCCCGACTAAGATGTTCGAAAAGTCGAGTTGTCTCAACATCGCCAGTGTGGGATCTGTAGAGGCACACGTAGACTCTGGCCTGGGGACCAGAATCGACGCGTACCCCCAACATGGAGAAGGAGGGATCTTCCAAGCAGCGAAGACGGCGACAACAAACATCCACCCGAACATACAGGCATACACCGGCTTTCGCTTTGAAGGACTCTTCAAGCACGTAGCCGGGATAATTAAGGTAGCCTGTGTCAGCAGGCGGAAGTATTTGTGACTCCGTCAGGAACAACAATGCTGGCCGTGCTGTCTCAAGATGGTGGTGGACAGCATTGAGGTTAGAGTGGAGTCCGCGTATGTTGCAGAACTCGACCTCAAACAGCGTTGAAGGCGTGGGGGTGTGCACCGCCCCCCCCCCCCCCCCAACACAAGTTATTAATGTTTATTATTAGTGCTACCACTTTAAGTAAGTTCTTTAAACACTTGCCAAAGCCTGACAACAATCAATATTGTGAAAAACTTCAATTAAATTAGTTACTTGAATAAATATATTTACTTTTACTTAGCCATCTAGGAACCTATCCCCTATAATGCCATACATTCCATATTCACGGATTCTGTGTTAGCGGCATATTCCTGGAACATATACCCCGCGAATATGGAGCTTTTACTGTTACAATATCACAACAGATAGGATGAAACATTCGGTTTTTTATTAATCATTATATTTTTGGCCTTGAAATCTTACCTCAATCATACAACAAATCAACTGCACACTTTAAAAGGATGGACATGGACCAAGAACTTTGGAGTTGAGATGGCACAGGCATAGAATGATAAATGAAGATGTAAGCAGGAGTCACATGTATGAATATAATACTAAAATAATATGTACCTACCTGCCGCGCTGTAGGGGTCGGCTGCTGACGAGATGGGTGGTGCATACGAAGGTTGCTGTTGATGACGCCATGACACCTCCGCCAACTCCTCTCCTCCACTCTCTAACTGATGCTCTTTCGGTGCATTTGTCACTGAAATATTACATCAATATGTTTCGTTAACTATCATACTAAGAAATACCAACAGAGTTCTGTTGGTATGAATAAAGTTGTACTAACATCATCAGCCTATCAAAGTTATGGATGGAATAGGGGGACTGGGCTGGTGGCCTACCATGACAGCTCAGTGCAGATTGGTAGGACCAATGGCTTAATGTGCCTTTCGAAACACAAGAGGAGCTCAAGGTACTAAGTTTTTGATTACCCATCCAATTACCAATTCACGATCAAAAGGTCTAAGTTAACACCCTAAAACGTTTAATGAGCAAAATGTCCATGTGGCAAAACATTATATTCTAAATGTGTATACTCATGTGACAGACACTAAAACTCATTTATAAACTTGAGGAAATATATTTGTTTTGAAAAAATGTGTTGATACATACATACATTTTGAGAATATGAAGACTTGCTAAATAGACTTTCTGCTATACAGACCATCTGAGAGTTGGATGTTTTGCTACATGGGCATTTTGCTAATTAGGCCATCTGCTCATTAGACGTATTGTGATGTTAGAGGGTTTGCTACTTAGACCTTTTGATCGGAAGCATACCAACCATTGCAAATGTTGCATAATTTTCACATTCACAGGCCCAATATGCTAAAAAACTGTACCATCCAACTTCTCTAAAGTTGAGACAAGCAAGTCTGTCAAAAATTTATTGTATTATGTGAATAGCAAACAAATTAGTGCTAACACTACTATTGATAGCAATATGAATGTATATATATATATATGTACACAACTTTGGAATATTTCATTATTTACAAAACTTAACAAAATGCAATGAAACAAGAGAATGCTTGAAATTTTTTCAAATTAAAAGACTAATTGGTCCCAATTTCAACATTGTTTCTATTATTTAAGATTTTTGCCTAAGAGTAACTAATAATGTGATGTTTGCTTATAATAATGGTACTTAATTCCATTATATGTAATCGAATTTCGGGGTAATTTGTAGGGGAGGGGGAGGGGGGGCTCTCCCCGACCCCCCCGCCATAAAAGATTTTTGGCGGAAATGCAATTTTTTTTTACCTAACCTAAAAATTCATTAAATCTGTTAAATGTAGTGGAATTTCAGGGGGATAGGTATAAGGGAAGACTCCTCAGAGGGAAGGGTAACCCCCCCCTCCTCCCGGCGTTTTTTTTTACAGAAATGATAATTATAAAAAATTATAGGGGTTTTAAAGGTAAAACTGTACTTCCAGGGCCTAGATTTTTTTGTAGAAAAAGTCTATATTAACGAATTTTTCTTTCTGGCGCTTCGCCGGCCGCTCCCGCGGCACGCTCGCTTCGCTCGCTCGGCTCGCGCGTTAAGGTCACAACACTAACCTAACCTAACCTAGTGTGAAGTATCACCACACAAGCGGCTCATTAGAGTCCAAAACTCGCACTACACTCGACTCTTCAGGCGAAGGGACAGCAGAACTCGAGACCGAAGGCTTTGAGGATGCCATGGTAGTCAGACGATGTTAATATCAACAGGAGTACGAAAAAGCTCTCAATTGTGACGAACACAAACACTGACTGACAGATCTCATTAATGGCGGTAAATTGTCACATTTTGACATTAGCACCAACTTAATAAACTTAATTTTACCATAGACAACGAGAAACATGTTATTTTTGCATAAAAAAATGGCAGCACTGATCAAAATTTCTATCAAAATTGACTCATAACCTACAAAAACATTAATTTTCAATATTTTTTTTCTCGAGTTCTATTAGTTTCCGCCTAAAAAGATTTCGTGTACGTGTTTATAATAGTTAATACTTTGCGTGACAAAAATTTCAGCTTGCAACTCAATTACATATAATGGAAAGCTGAGCCATAATAATTGTTAAATATTTTTAATGTTTAAGTATCTTAAAAAATATTCTAACTCTAGGAAAACTAAAGTGAGCAACAAATATAGCTATAAGCTATAAAACTTCACCACTAGTGATTTAACAATTTTGCCTATAAATTATTACTAAAATGTTACCATTAAAACCTTAACTACATTTAAGATAATACAACTATGTACTACAACAGCTAAAACATAATTATTAGCTGATTATTTGTCCATAGTAAGCGATTAATGTCACCTTCATAGGCTTTATGTACTGAAAAGCTTAACTGTACCACTAATAGATACTAATACTTTTTAAAAGATTGACTACATAAAATCTTATGGTTACATTTTGTTGAAACAAGTGTTATGGAAAATCTATATAATTAGGTAACAGTTTAAGTTCAAATATTTGCTCTGAAAATGTACGCATAATTATTATTTTCCTAGAACAATTTGTAACTTTGTGTAGGACGTTGCGAGTGGGCAGTAACTCCCACAAACAGCTCACCTGGCAATGTGTTTTATAAGACGCCACTAATATTTCCCATGTTTGATTCATTTGCCTCTTAATGTTCATTTGGGGCAGAGATAGAAATTGACAAATGGTGAAAGCAGATTTAAAAAGAGATGTTTGCTTCGCAACACAAGTTTACGCCGGATACAAAGCCGCCGGTAATAACTATCCTTACGGAGAAAACACCTTGCAACGTCATAATGATCCCAACTTTACCTTGGTTCCCTTGCCCTTTCATCCGCTTTACGTCAGAATAACATGAAACAAGAAATAGAACAGTATTATTAATACTCATAAAAATGTATCTGCTTCCCAAATAATACCAAAAAGGTAAAATAAATGCGAAATACCTGATCTGACACGCCTGCTGACATTGGCCACGATATTACAAAATTGTACACTCGGTCAAGTCTTTAGTCACGACAATAACAAAATTAATCACATTAGTTTCACTGCACAATGTCCAAAGTGTTCAAGTTTCACCTAAATATTTTACAATAGTCCGTGCGAAATAAAACTAAACTCAACTCAATGTCCAAAACGGATGAATGAGAACGTTTATAATGGCGACGGATTACCAGTGTTACCACATTTTTATTTTACGGTAATAATCGGTTTTAATAAAAATGTCGAAATAGTTCGTCGGCCAGAGTAATGCAGGGCTTACATTATGCCAGTATGCGTTCGATTCAATGGGCGTGTTCCAAACCTACGCTCTGAGTACCTACTAAAGCGCTTATTCCGCCTGTTTAAATTAATTCAGACGTTCTAAATCATTCAATAACTAATTCAGTCAAGTGAAATAGCGTTTCGGAAGTTAGGATCCTAATTAGCATCCTAAATCGAAAGAAGTGTGGCTTCTGACTGACTAAATCATTTAGTATCCTAATTAGAACGTGATTTAGGAAGGTGTAATAGGTGTTTTCCAATTACAGAGCATAATGCGACTCAGTGCCGCACCATGCCGAATTATGCTGATGCATACAGTTTGTCTATAAAGTCGTGACATTAAATGATGGCACCACTAGTATGCATGTAGCAACCCTATACAGTCGGACCAAAATGATTTTGATACTAGCAGTTCATTCAAGTAAAATAGTAATTAATAAGACACACTATACAGTCGTATCTTGTTTTTGTTTTATATATAGTAGGTACCTATGCTTATAAAAAGTTTAGCCAAGCATATTTAATTGAATCGGAATAATATTATTATACATAAAATAGTACTTTATAGTGTGAAAGTGTGTAATGTTAGTGATTACCGCTGAGGTGCCATTGAGACCAGAGCCGTTAGGTAATCATCAATACACACAAGATCATCATACGACGTTTTTTAACACACTTGTTGTTAGGATGCAATATTTGTTTATTGTTAAGTTTGAAGCAAGTGAAAAATAAACGAGTTGTCACAGCGACACTGAAATAACAAGATGGGTTTTATTGAAATAATATTTTTAAGTATCCTTTTATCCAATTTACAACTATATTTAACATGGTAGCAGATCAATAAATATAGATTGAACTGGGTCGCGATCCACGAAAAGGAAAAAGTAAAAAAAGAAGAGAAATTAATATGACGACGACAACGCTGCCGATTCTTACAGAAGGTACGAATTTTGGTAATTGGAATTATAGATTGACGTTGATTTTAGAATAAAGGCAAATAAAATACGTATTAGAGAATGAAAAATGTGACGAATTTGTAAATTTTGACAAAGATGATTCGAAAGAGAAATCGTTAATAGCGCAATGTACAAGCGATAAATATCTAGATATTTTAAAGAAAGGGCGAACAGCAAAGCATATGATTTCTCTGCTTTTAGAAGGTTTTGAGCGAAAAAGCATTTATAATAAATTACATTTAAAAAGAAAATTAATTACGTTGAAATGTACAAATACAGAGTCATTGCAGCAGTACTTTATGAAGTCTGATAATTTATTGGGAGATTTGGCTGCAATAGACGTAAAAGTAGATGAGGAAGACCTAATTTGTTATCTTTTATCGTCACTTCCGAAGGAGTTCGAACACGTAATTACTTCCATAGAAACCATGGCAACGGAAAAACAACTGAATTTAGAATTTGTTAAAACAAGACTATTAGATGCGGAAACAAAATTAAAATTGAATAAAGATACGGACACACAAAACGAAATAAACAATGCCTTTATTATTAAATGTTACGGATGCGGAAAAACAGGACACAAATCTTTTGAATGTAGAGCTAAAGGCCGCAGAGGAACTAGCTTCCAACGGAACCGTGGGTACCGCAATGGACGTAGAAGACGAGGGCAAGGCCATTCATCCTGGTACGACGGAGCACAAGCTACTTATGCGGAAGTGGACAATGAGTTTTGTTTTCTGATGAACACCAATGCAATGGTAGGAGAAGTGAACACAAATAATGTAAGTGACCATAAAATAGTTGAAATTATAGTAGATTCTGGTTGTACGGAACATTTGATAAACGATAAATATTTAGATAGCATGTTTGATATTGTTGTAGGACGAACTGTGAACATTTTAGTTGCCAATGGAAAATACATTACCGCGAATAAGAGAGGAAAAATAGAAATGGAATATCAAAATTCTAAAATAATCATAGAAGCACTAATTGTAAAAGACATACAATTTAATTTACTCTCGGTAAATAAGTTAATAGAAGCCGGTTATAATGTTAATTTTGATAGGACCCGTGTTAAAATTTTTAAAAGAAATCATTTTATTACAGCTTTCTGTCAAAATAAATTATTTAGAATCTTTGGTAAAATTTATAATAATATTTTTTGTAACAATATATTGAATTGTGAAAATAGTTTATGGCATAAGCGATTAGGTCACTTAAATAGAAAAGGTCTGGGTATAATGAAGTTACCTATATCTGACAAAATGTGTGAACCCTGCATAGAAGGCAAAGCAACACGTTCTATGTATAAACCAATTCTTAAACCTAGATCATCAATGATTGCCGAAATGCTTCATACTGATATAGCTGGACATTGCGTATCGAATGTTGGGCTCAATGATGAAAAGTATTTCATGACAATCATAGACGATTTTTCTCATTTTTGTGTAGTTTTTATATTGAAATACAAGTCTGAAGCTACACAAACTCTCATAGATTATATTGCCAAAATAGAGAATGAATCCGGAAATAAAGTTAAAAGAATACGATGCGACAATGGAGCTGAATATACAGCGAACTCAATTAAAGATATTTGCAGGCGGAAAGGAATTAAATTAGAATATACGTTACCATATACTCCTCAACAAAATGGCGTAGCGGAACGAATGAATAGGACGTTGTACGATAGAGCTAGAACTCTTTTTGCAGAAACGTACATTCCTAAAGATCTTTGGCCGGAAGCAATTCGCTGTGCTGCGTATCAATTAAATAGATGTCCATCGAGTGCGATACGATACAGAACACCTTGCGAGGTAATATATGGAAATAGAGATTTATCGAGATTGAGAATTTTCGGATGTAAAGCTTGGGCAACAGTTATACCTAAGGAAGATAAATTGAGTAAACGAGCTATATGTACAAAGACGGTTGGCTATAGTTAAGTTGGCTATAGATTATAGGATCCAGAGAGCAATTATATAATTATTTCTAAAGATGTGACATTTAATGAAAATGATTACAGATATAATGAAAACACGACAGAAAAAGGTGAAAGAAAACACGAACTAGTACAGAAGGAAGAAAATGATGTAGATAAAAAATCAGTTGAAAATGAGAATGATCATGAAATGCGAGATGACGAAACAAGAGATGCTACTGAAGAAATACAAGAAATAAGAAATAAAGAAAATGAAGTAAATAGAGAGGTAAGATGTACACGATCAGGAAGAATAGTTAAAGTTCCAAATCGTTTTGAAACAAACGTTGTATATTGCACGTTAGCTCAAGAAGGCTAAGCTTTACTGTTAGATGCCCCAAATAGTTATGAAGTGCTCTCAAAAGTGAAGATTGAAAGAAAGCAGTAGATAAAGAGTTGCATGCTTTAGAAAAACTAGAAACATGGGAAGAAACAAATTTACCTGAGGGAAAACAGGCAATAGATAAGAAATGGATTTTCAAAATTAAAGATGATGGAACGAAGAAATCGAGATTGGTTGTAAGTGGTTTTCAACAAAAGAAAGAAGATTATTTTGATACAATTTATTCGCCAGTAGCAAGACAATCAACTGTAAAAATGTTTTTATCGAAGGCTGTAAGAGAAGATAAAAGAATACGTCAGCTAGATATACCAACAGCATTCCTCAATGGGAAAGTATAATCAGAAGTATATATTAAAGTACCTAAAGGATTAAAAACAGAAGAACATAAAGTTTTAAGACTGAAGCGTTCATTATACGGTCTTAATGAATCGCCGCTATGTTGGAATGAGAGGATAGATACTTTTATGAAAGAAAATGGATTTTGTAGGTCAGGTCATGACTCTTGTCTATATTTTAATGATAATTGCTGAGTGATTATATGTGATGACATTTTAACGATGGGAAATGATAAATTTATATTAGAAAAGCTAGCGGAAGAATTTAAAGCTAAAGATATGGGTGAGCTAAGTATATATTTAGATATGGAAGTGACAAGTGACAATGACAAAATGATTATAAAGCAGACGAGAATGATAGACAAGATTTTAGCTAAAATCGATATGGCAGAATGTAAAGGAGTCAAAACACCTATGGAAACAAACTTTAATGTGAAATTTGAGGAAAATGAAAATAAGATTGATGTGCCATTTAGACAACTTGTAGGAAGTTTATTGTATTTATCTATCACTTCTAGACCTGATATCACATTTCCAGTCTCATATTTGAGTAGATATTTAGATAAAGTTAATGAAGAGTTATGGAAAGCTGGTAAAAGGATACTGCGATACCTTAAAGAAACAAGAAACAAAGGTCTATTATTTCAGAAAGGTGATGGAGAATCAAGTCTTCTTGGATATTCCGACGCTGATTGGGCTAGCGACAAAGCAGATCGGAAAAGTATTAGTGGTGGCATAATACTGCATGGTAAAAATCCGGTTTGATGGTTTTCTAGTAAACAAAAATGTGTTGCTCTGTCTACAGCAGAGTCGGAATATTTAGCAGCAGGTAGTACAGCTCAGTGGTTGATAAATTTAAAAGGAATTTCAGAATGTTTGGGAGAGTCTAATTCTATAACTTTACTTGTAAATAATGTAAGTGCTATAGCTATATCTAAAAGTTATGAAAATTCAAAGAGAACGAAACATATAGCTATAAAGTACCATTTTTTGAAAGATTTAGTGCATAACAAAATATTAAGCATAGAATATGTAAATACGCACGATAATTTGGCAGATGTTATGATGAAAAGTTTAGGTAAAGAAAAATTTGATTATTTAATTGCAATGTTTATCTGTTAGTTTTTTTTATGTAGGTATGTTATGTTAATTTTGTGTTTATTTATATAGTAAATGTTGTTATGCGTTACGTTGTCATATAAAGTAAATTTAACCATCATAAATATTGAGAAGGGTGTTAGGATGCAATATTAGTTCATGGTTAAGTTTGTAGCAAGTGAAAAATAAACGAGTTGTCTAAGCGACACTGAAATAACAAGCTGGGTTTTATTGAAATAATATTTTAAAGTATCCTTTTATCCAAT